CCAACGTCAGTGCAGGAAGCACAACCAGGACCCTCAAAGAGCTCGATACCGAAATCAGTGGCACCAAGGCACCAGTCGCAGTCCCTGCTCCGAAGAGGGGAAGAGGCTGCAGGGGGAGATGGCTGAGCTCTAAGTCCCATGTGGGCCAGCACCGTCGTCATTGTTCCTCGGGCTGGGAGTCCCCTGGTACCGGTGGTACAGGGGCGCTGATGAAGAGCGACAACCTGCCTTGTGGACGTAGCCTGGACCCGATGCCAGCATACCGACCCTCCACACCAGAGACGTTTGAGGCAGCGCACGACCTCATTGAGCTGACGGCCTCGCTTCCGTCGTCCCTGTGCTTAGAAAGGTCTCCGCTGGTGATACCGGGGGCCATGTCGGCATCAGTCGCCTTTTTCACGCAGGGTGCTTGGTCAGCACGGGCATCTTTAGTGGCCTCGCAGACAGCCTTGAGTTTGTCATCAGCACTGGCAGCGCCTGCGCTGAGGGCTCCGGTGCTGGCGGATCCCTAGCATGTGCGACAGGACCGCTCAGCACCAATAGTGACTGTGTCTGGTGCACATTGGGCATCCCCTGCCTCTCCACCGATGTCTTTGGTACTGGTCCTGGAACCAGCTCTGTCTAGCGCCGCTGCACCATTATTGGCACCCCAGTCGGCACCGCAGTCAGCATCACTTCCTATAGCCGCACCGGTACCACCTTTGTCAGCACCAGCTCGCATGACCACACCGACACTGTTGCCTTCGGCACCGGTGATTTTGGCACCGCTGCCAGTTCCAGCCCCTGCTCCCAGCTTAGTGCAGAAGATTCCTGGTACACCAGCTCCACACTCAGGTCTTTGGGCATTCACACACCAGCCCCACAGAGGAGGCAGTTCCCCAATAGGCAATCTGGGAGGGAGCAGTTCCAGTCCTCCTGTGGAGACTACTGGAGACATTGGCCTCGTGCTTCCAGTGGAGGTGCGGCAGGTGCTGCTGTTACCCATACGAGGCGTCGTTGTCCACGGACGGATACCGTTAGGGGAGTTTGCCATCCCCCCAACCATTTTGAAGATGTGCTCGAGGACCATGTACCAACTCCCATTATCTCCCGGTTGTTTGGGGACAGGTTATTCCGTTTTTTCCAGGCCTGGTCCCAGGTCACATCCGACAAGTGGGTGCTCGGCCTGGTAAGGATGGGTTATTACATCCCCTTTTTGGGCTCTCCCACTTTTTCTCCCTCCCCCCAGTCCCTCTTCAGGGACCCATCTCACAAGATCCTCCTTCGTCAGGAAGTCCTCTCACTTCTGGAGAAGGGAGCAGTGGAAAGGGTCCCCTTGCATCTAGAGGGCAAGGGTTTTTATTCCCAACACTTTATCATCCACAAGCTAAAAGGTGGGCTTCGGCCTATTCTAGATCTCAGGAACCTCAACAGGGGGATAAAAAAGGCAAAGTTCAGGATGGTGACCCTGGCCTCCATCATTCCGGTTCTAGAACTAGGGGATTGGTACGCGGCCCTTGACCTCAAAGATGCCTATCTCCATGTGGCAATAAGACCAAGTCACAGGAGATTTCTTCACTTTGTGGTGTCCCGCAGCCACCTCCAATTTACTGTGCTCCCCTTTGGGCTCTCTGCGGCCCCCAGGGTCTTTACAAAGTGTATGGCAGTGGTGGCGGCATTTCTCAGGACACATGGGATCCAGGTCTTCCCTTATCTGGACGATTGGCTCATTTGTGGGTGCCACCAAGACCAGGTGGTAGCGCATATAGCCTTTACAAGGGCCCTCTTCCAAAAGCTCGGGCTCATGCTAAACAAGGAAAAGTCAATGCTGACTCCCTATCAGGACATAGGATTTGTGGGGGCCTATCTGGATGCCAGGATGGGGCGGGCTTATCTCCCCAGAGCCAGGTTCTGCACTATGGTGTCCATGATGTGCGACCTGATATGCTCCCCCCTTACGATGGCTCGAACCTGCATGAAGTTGCTCGAACACTTGGCGGCATGTACTTATGTGGTCCACCATGCCAGGCTAAGACTCCGGCCCTTACAGGCTTGACTGGCGAAAGTGTTCAACCAGTCCAGATCGCACTGGGACGCTATCCTGATGGTGCCTCAGAAGGTGATTGCCTCCCTCCAGTGGTGGATTCAGGAGGACATGGTGTGCAGCGGGGTGCCGTTTCAGGACAAGCTCCCCTTGGTAACATTAGTTACAGATGCTTCTGATGTTGGTTGGGGTGCACACCTAGACTGCAACAGGATGCAAGGAGTGTGGGCCCTCCATGAGAGGGCCCTGCATATAAATGTAAGGGAGCTGAGAGCAGTCAGGAGAGCATGCGAGGTATTCCTAACCATGCTTTCCTGGCAGTCAGTGCTGGTGCGGTTGGTCAACACGACCGCCGTGTTTTATATAAACAAACAGGGTGGGGCTCGGTCATCTCTACTGTGCTGAGAAGCAGTTCTTCTGTGGGAGCTGTGCATAATGCACAATATTCAGCTGCGGGCAGAGTACCTGCCGGGTTGCAAGAACTTGTTGGAAGATTCTCTGAGCAGGCCCACGAGTGGTGCCTGAAGGAGGAGGTCCTCTTTCCAGTTTTTCACAAGTGGGGTTGTCCTTGGGTGGATCTTTTCTCCACCCAGGAGAACAAGAAGTGCCCCCAGTACTTTTCATTCCTGGGCCTGGGCATGGGTCAAGGGGGGATGCTCTGACCACTGCCTGGCCACGGGGCCTTTTGTATGCATTTCCCCCATTCCCGTTAGTCTCCAGAGTCAGGAGGTTCAAGTCCCGGATCACTCTGATAGCCCCAAACTGGCCGAGGCAGTATTGGTTCCCCATATTGCTGAACATGGCACGTGCCAAGCCACAGCTCCTATCCATGGTCCCAGATCTTGTCACGCAACCCTGGGAAAGGGGTCTCCGTGCCCACCCAACCTTCAGGTCCCTCCATCTGACAGCATGGCTTATCCATGGCTAACGCAATTGGAGAGGGCTTGTTTCAAGGGGGTGCAGATGGTTCTGCTAGGTAGCAGAAAGCCATCTACCAGGAGGTCCTGTGCCGCTAAGTGGAAGAGGTTCTCTTTATGGGTGTCCAGAAAGGGCTTAGATCCATCTTTGGCCCCCGTCCCGGTGGTTCTGGACTACCTATTTGAGTTGCGGCAGAAGGGCCTGTCTATCTCTTCTGTCAGAGTGCACTTAACTTCCCTGTCGGCCTTCCACACAGGTACTGGGAGCAGTTCCCTGTTTACAGACCATGTGGTCAAAAGGTTCTTAAAGGGACTGGATAAGTTGTTCCCTCACGTGAGGGCACCCGTACCCCAGTGGGACCTGAATCTGGTGCTTACGAGGCTCATATCCCCCCCCCTTTGAGCCATTGGCCATGTGTTCACTAAAGTACTTGTCCCTTAAGGTGGCGTTCATCGTAGCCATTACCTTGGCACGACATGTGTCCAAGCTTCGTGCCCTGGCAGTGGAGCAACCGTGTTTAGTGTTCTCAGCGGATAGGGTCAAGCTGTGCCCCCACCCAGCTTTCCTCCCTAAGGTAGTCTCAGTTTTTTATATGTCTCAGGATATATATTTACCCATTTTCTTTCCTAAGCCACACTGCTCCCCTAAGGAGCAAGCGTTATATTCCCTCGATGCTAAATGCGCGTTGGCTTTTTACATAGACAGAGCGAGATATTTTTGTAAATCGTCTCAGATGTTTATTGCTTTTATGGAAAGAATTAAAGGGTTGCCAGTTTCGTCCCAAAGGTTGTCCGCCTGGATCTCTGTGTATCTAGGAGTGTTACATTTTAGCGCATAGGGAGCCGCCCCACGTTAAGGCACACTCCACTAGAGCACATGCATCCTCCACAGCTTTTGGAGTGCAGATTCCGATTCTTGAGATTTGTAGAACTGCCACGTAGTCCTCTGTTCACACGTTTACGGCACATTATGCGCGCACTCAACAGGCCAGGGACGATTCTGCCTTGGGTTCTGCTGTTCTCAGCTCTGTCCTGTGAATTAAAAAAAAAAAAAAAAAAGAAGCTAAAGAGGTTAATGTTTTTGAATGGTTGATGTTAATACATTCTTTATTATTATGTTGCATTTTTTGGTTGAATAAATTTCTAGTTGATTGTTTATGACCCTTGAGTTGTGTCTGTTTAGGAGTTTATCTCTGACTCCACCTCCGTAGGGGTTTTCAGTTTGGGAGTCACTTCATTCAAATGGACATGAGCAACCACTTGAAGAAAAGAACGGTTACTTACCTGTAACTGTTGTTCTTCGAGATGTGTTGCTCATGCCCATTCGATTCCCCCCCTACCTTCCCTTTGTCGGAGTTGCCGGCAAGAAGGAACTGAGGAGGGGGAGCGCCAGCAGGGGTACTTATGCTCCGCTATAGCAGCGCCACTCCAGGGGGCGATCTGCCGTTGCCACGGGTACCGCTAGGGAAAATGCTCCAAGAACCATGCACATGGCACACGCACACCTCATTCCAATGGACATGAGCAACATATCTCGAAGAACAACAGTTATAGGTAAGTAACCGTTCTTTTCAAGTCACTGCACATTGCATATCTTTCTAGGTGTGTATGTGCCACCCACACAGTCACTAGACATTTTTCCCATTGGTACCTGTTAGGGTGCATCGAGCACCCCTCTTGCTGGCACATGCCGACGGTGCCAGTATGAAGCATCCAGCTGATTCCATGATCCAACAGTTTCTTCTTACTGGCTTTGTCAGTTGAGAGCTTATCTCTTGTAAGAGAATTTGCAGCTGGTCAGATGTGATCAGTGTTTGGGCCACTTGCACTGCCTAAGTGGTGAAAAGGGGCCAGATTGAGAGAGGGAGTCTAGCCCATGTTTAATGTGTCCAAGCTGTGGAGAAAATTTTGGTGAATAGAGGTCAAAATACAGAACAAATATTGGATAACTAATGATAATTATCAGATAATATTAGCATGATGATTTCAATCATTTTCATAAGCTATTTTAGTAACAAATAAAAACCTTAAATAATATTGATCATTTTTTATTTCCACAGACCTTCAGATAAAACCTGTATCAAACATAATTTTACCACTTATAAAATACCTGGGTAAGAAATTTGATTTATTTAATGACAGTAAAACAAAACATAGGGCTGTGTAGATATATTTACTGTATGAAAATGCAGAAAACCATGTCAT